TCCAAGGGTAGCCTGTTTGCCGATGCGGAGGTTGTATCGCGCGCACCGTTCGTCTATTACGAGCTGAATGAGCACTACACCCGCGACTACGCATATCCCGTCAAGCGAAACTGTCCTGTAGGCAGTAGGTGTTGTTATTAGCGCCTGACGCTGTAGTGCTCGAAGATGTCTCCAGTCCTCCTTATCGCAACGGTCACTCCAAGCCGTCGCCGCATATGTGACGATAGGCATAAAGAAACCCTTGTATATGGTGGACATAGCTGGGTATCGCAATCCCTATTCCGCTCGCGCAATATGCCGCATGCGCCCGAATACCCTACTTAGTTTCGCGCGCCTTGTTTTGATGTGACTTTTCACTTTGAGGCCCTCGTCGAAGTGCACCCCTAAGTATCTAACACTTGATTTGAAGTTGACTTTAGAGTCCCCTATCATTATTTTTGCGGTTTCGTATCGTACTTGGGCTCCGTTTTTCTTTTGCTTTGAAGGGGTGCGGGCTCTTTTTGTCCTTGCGTGGACCGCGATATACAAGTTTGTTCTTGAGGAAGATGGCTTCAGTTTTCGACTTCGACAGTTCGAGCTTTGCGGAACAGCACCATTCCAGTATCATATCTACTACTACTTGACCTTTATGCTCTAATTCATTTCTTGAAGAGCCGTCTACTAAGACGAGCAAATCGTCAGCAAATGCAAGAAATTTATTCCCGTGTTCTATCAGTTCGAGTTTCTTGAGGAGATCGTCGAACATGACGTTCCAAAATAATGGTCCTAGCACTGATCCTTGCGGGCACCCTCGCGTCGGCGTTTTCGATTCGCTACCAAAACCCCATGACAGAGCGACCGATCTGTCCTCAAAGTAATTCCGAATTACCGCGTAAATATTGCTAGGGCAGCCTCTGACCTTGAAGCCCTCGAGTACTAACGGCCACCACACGTTGTCAAAAGCGCCAGAGATATCGAAGAGAAGTCCGACCACCAGTCTCTTCTCTGGAGAGTCTACAAATCGGCGCATCTTCACAATTGCATCTTCCATCGACTTTTTGGCTGTGAAATGAAACTGTTAGCTTGAAATGTTCCCCTTCGCTAAGACTACTGTGGTAGTAAGTCGCTCTTTGATGAGCTTCTCGAACACCTTACCTAATCCCGAAAGGAGACAAATTGGCCGATGATTTAGGGTCATTCGCGTTTTTGTCGGTGCTTTTAACTAACATTATAATTGCCCCCTTCTTCCACTCCTTTGGGAATGCTCCTAACGCCAAGCAAGATAACTCTCGAACGAATCAAGCGATTTTGACGGGACTGGTCGCTATCAACGTAATTTTCCAAGTTTAAGAGCAGATTAGTTTTTTGAATTGATATGTAGAGCCGTTTAGAAGTTATTCCAAAGTAACCATTTTTTAAAAATTTTATTTTTGAGATTTCTTAAAATCTACCTAACCGAATCGATTCAAATTTTTGCAAAATTCAATGGCAATGACACTCTTTGGATCGCCACCTATCTCGATGTGATCGGACGAGCCATTCAAAAGTTATGAGGTTTACACACACATACACACACACGCAAACACACACACATACACACACACACACACACATACAAACACACACACACACACGCACACACACGCCCAGATGGAGGAGAACGAACAGCTGAACAACGGTCCTTCAAAAAATGGAGGACCTTTTGCTCCTGTCACAAACCAAACCTACCGAGGAAACATAAACTCTGTACCGACTGTCACCAGCCAACAGTCACCAATGGAGAGACTCGGCAGCAAGATTGAAGAGCTAGTCGACTTCATAAAGGACAAGAAAAATGTCCATCATGAGATCAGAAAAATGGTTACGTCTCTTGGTACGGCATATAGGCTTGCCAACAAATCACCAACGACGACAGCGTCAACGACTCAAACATCTCCGAGTCTGAGCAAAAAACCACAGCCACCTGTGGTCACTCCTAAGAGATTATCACAGCAAGGAGAGGGCAACAACAAGAAGAGGCCGCTGTCCACGCCCAGCCCCTCCGCAGAAATCAACAAGCCAGCACAGAAAAAGCCAGCCCGGGATGATACTTGGACTGGGATGATACTTTGGTGTTTTTTCCGATTCTATTACAGTAAATCAATTTTTACAAAGTATGGAATTAATCTCCATCAAATTATCACGAAATTGAGGCGCACAGTAGCCTATCGGATCTGGCCCTTGTTACCAAAGCATTGGACCGGGTTCGAATCCGGCGTACACATACATACAGACATAGTGATGGAGGGTAGAGTTGTTCGCGTTCGTAGGTTCTGCTTTTACACCCTACACGTGCTCTCCGGGTAGTGCCAAATGAACAACACCAACAACGATATGAAAATGTCCCAACAATTTCAAACATCGTCTACGGTGCAGAGGGGGGATACCTCAGTACCGGCGAGGGAAGGCGTACAAACAGGCCCGAACTCGTCGTTATCAAGCGACCGTTTGAACAGTGGAGTGGACCCCATGGCTCTGCTGTTTAGCAATGCTACAGGAAGTAAAGAAACAGCTCAGATGGAAGTGGACACACAGCAAACAAACCTTCCTCTAATAAGTGGGAGACCTGTTGCTCCCGTCAACACTCACGCATACCAAGGGAGGATCAACTCTCTACCGACTGTCATCTGCCAACTTACGCCAATGGAACGGCTCGGTAGCAAAATCGAAGAATTGGCTGAGTTTATAAAGGATAAAAGAAATGTACATCATGAACTCAGAAAAAAAGTAGCGTCCATTGGCACGGCATATAAGTTGGCCAACAAACCAGTAACGAAGTCGGCGATAACCACGCAAACATCTCCGGGTCTGAACAAAAAATCACACTCGTTTTTGGTCACCCCTGAGAAATCCCAGCAAGGAGAAGAAAACAACAAGAAGAGGCCGCTGTCTACGCCCAGCCCTTCCTCAGAAAACAAGAAGCCAGCACAACTCTATGGCGCTAAAATCAGTGACGAAAATATGAAGGACGCAAGAACGAGGATAAAGGCGGAAACGCAGCAAGACTGGCAGGACCGATGTCCATCGGGAGCGACGGGCAGATGGACGGCGCGCCTGATCCCAAACATCAACTTCTGGCTTTCTCGGAAGCACGGGGATACGGACTTCTTCCTGACCCAGCTATTGACGGGACATGGGCAGTTCAATGCTTCTCTTTTCAAGATGGGTTTGCACAGCACACCAACGTGCAAATACTGCCCAGACAAAATTGACAACGCCGAACACACGTTTTTCGAGTGTGATCGGTGGAAGGACGACAGAACCAGCACCGAAGAAACAATAGGCACCACGCTCTCCCCTGAGAGCTTGATAACCTGCATGATAAAAAAAGAAGAAAACTGGTCAGCTGTCGCAGCCTACGCGCAGCGCCTTTCAAAAGAAAAAATCGCAGAAAGGGATTAGAAACCAGTAATTAGTAACAAGAAGTAGGTGTCATGAGACACAACATGGACTGGATTGAAGTAATGCTAACGCGGCCCCGTTCCAGTCATCCCTGTAACATCTATAGGAAAAGGAGAGAGGAGGATGTTTAGTCGGTATTGTTACAAATATTGACTTCCGAGTCCGACATACCAAGGCACTAACACCTAGTCCTGGCAACAACACCAAGCCCTGGCATACGTAAATGTATTTTACCTCCTCTATAAAAAAAAAACACACACACACACACACACACACAGACATGGGAGGAACAACACTGACGTCAACAAGGGCCCTGCGATATCTAGGGGTTATGATAGACGAGAAACTATCTTTCCGTGAACACCTCGACAGTGCATGCAAGTAAGCCAGCAAGACTGTGTCTAGCCTAGCACGAATTATGACCAACACCATGGGACCAAGAACAAAAAAGAGAAGAGTTCTTCTAGAAGCAGTCCACTCGGTACTGCTTTATGGAGCAGAGATGTGGGCAGACATATTAAAGCAGAAGATCTACCGGCGAAAGATAGCAGCAGTACAGAAGCGAGGCGCTTTCAAGGTTTGCTGCGCCTACCGCACAGTTTCCGAAGCGGCTATATTGGTCATTGCAGGAGCTGCGCCCATCGACCTATTAGCGTTCGAGAGAGCTAAACTCTATGGCGCTAAAATCAGTGACGAAAATATGAAGGACGCAAGAACGAGGATAAAGGCGGAAACGCAGCAAGACTGGCAGGACCGATGTCCATCGGGAGCGACGGGCAGATGGACGGCGCGCCTGATCCCAAACATCAACTTCTGGCTTTCTCGGAAGCACGGGGATACGGACTTCTTCCTGACCCAGCTATTGACGGGACATGGGCAGTTCAATGCTTCTCTTTTCAAGATGGGTTTGCACAGCACACCAACGTGCAAATACTGCCCAGACAAAATTGACAACGCCGAACACACGTTTTTCGAGTGTGATCGGTGGAAGGACGACAGAACCAGCACCGAAGAAACAATAGGCACCACGCTCTCCCCTGAGAGCTTGGTAACCTGCATGATAAAAAAAGAAGAAAACTGGTCAGCTGTCGCAGCCTACGCGTAGCGCCTTTTAAAAGAAAAAATCGCAGAAAGGGATTAGAAACCAGTAGTAACAAGAATGGGTGTCATGAGACACAACATGAACTGGATTGAAGTAATGCTAACGCGGTCCCGTTCCAGTCATCCCTGTAACATCTATAGGGAAAGGAGAGAGGAGGATGTTTAGTCGGTATTGTTGCAAATATTGACTTTCGAGTCCGACATACCCAGGCACCAACACCTAGTCCTGGCAACAACACCAAGCCCTGGTATACGTAAATGTATTTTACCTCCTCTATAAAAAAAAAAACACACACACACACATACAGTTGCACGGACACCATGAACCAGGTCTGGTCATGTCTGAAGATTTTGTCCCGGGGATTCAATGTCAGTTAGAAGATAAAGACAAGACAAAACGAGACGATGCAATAAGTTAAATGATTTTCGAGATTAATACGAGACTTATATTTTTAGTTCGAAATCAAGACAAGGTGAAAAATTTCAAGATCAATGTTCTTATCTAGTTTTGCCTCAGCTGGAGTAAAGCTCTAATTTTTACCTTAAATTATGTTATTTTAGTCTTAGTTTTATAAATGTTAATTACTGATGCCTGATTTGGTCAATGTTACTGATGAAGAAATCTAAAGCGAAATCAACATTGTCTCGTTTTCCGGACATAATTGACAAAAATGCGTCAGACACTTGATCTCCAAGAAGTGTTGAGTTTTCCGCAATCGCTAAAATGAGGTACTTCTTCATTAATTTACGATTATTTGTGCATCCAAGATACTGCAATCCCGGTTGTACCAACGGATTAGCAAGATGTGAATTCATTAAGTTTTCCCAGGTACTTTCATTGGAAACTCTCAACCCGTTGCAATAAATCCAGCTCTCTTCACTCGGAGTTATTCTTGAAAAAGAAAAAATAGAAATGATTTGTCATATCCATCACAAAAACGATTAATATTCTAGACCAGAAATAAAGCAGTCTTGAAGTGACTTACATATTGTCATATGGATTCTGAAGGTGAGTTGCAATTTTTTCCGAAGCGAATTCTCTGCATTCTTCTTGACCAAACGCACATGCCCACGGAAGCAAATGATATCGAGCTAATTGAACTAAATGATTTTCACCTTCATCATACTCGAAGCCGACATGTTCAACTATGTTATTCAAAAGATGCAACATAAACTTTTCAAACAGATCATAAGCTGGAGTATTGATCAACAGATTATCAAATAGCTCTATTATTTTCATTGTTGGTATCCAAGGAAGAAAGTGAGTTTCTCTATACATATATGACATAACGTCAATAAGTACTTCGTAATACTGATCATCGATAGTCGCAAAATAGTGAAGATCGTAAATCAATTGTGCGCGATTAATTGGATCGATTTTGTAAAAGTTATCAGTGCGTAGGTAATCAGCAATGCGTTTCCAGTTTTTTAAATCATAATGGACTCGATAGAAGCCTGAAAAAAATATACGGAATAAAAATCAAAATTCATTTTTTCGTATCTATTGTTTACAATTCTGACCGCTTTGCTTAATATTAAAAATCACCCAGTCATCTATATTGGTATTGTGAAGAGTATAGCTTTCACTGATTGGTCTTAACCAATGTGTAGGTTGTGTGTTATCGAAGTTGAGTTTTGAACTATCTGTAAAAGTCAGCGGGATCATCCATAAATTATCTGGATTAGTTTTCATTGCATTGTATTGCGTAATGTTTATATCTCCAGTTTCATAATTTCTGGTTACATTTATAATTGGATAGCCTGTTTGTTTTAGCCAAGGATCCATTAATTCCTGAATGTTCAACGTTGCAAACAATCTCTTCTCATCATAAGACTCTTGCAAAGCATGCAATAAATCGTTGGTTGTCACCCCACTGAATTGACTGCAATCGTTTAATAAATATAGTAGCATATAAAAGTAAATTTTTTGTGTAAAAACTTTTAAAGTATCTATTGAAATTCAAGAAATACACAAGCTTAATCAGTGAGTTGCATCCAGATTTTTACTGCAATTAATACATACTTCCTTTTCAAATATTTCCTTACTCCATCTTGAAAAACTTTTTCAGACAAAATATTTTCGAGCATATAAAGAATGGCTGCCCCTTTTCGATAAGTAACTCTATTGAATATCATCGAAATATCGGTGGGGCTTTTTGGATTCCATTTTATTGGCAAGGGATGACTTATCATTAACTCAGCGACAAAAGATACTCTATTGATGACGTCTACAACAAATAAATTTTTTCCATGCCAATTTTTCAAGATCTATTGTAAAAATAATTAACATTAGTAATGTAAATGATTGATCATCAATTGACATAAGTGCTGTAGAGTAGGGTGGCGCAAGAAAAATTGCACTTTGTGCTTCTATGGAGGACAATAAGACCTTTCAAATTTTCTACGCCACCTTACTAAACAGTTGAAACAAAGAATACCTGATCAGAGAGTTTTGCCGAAAAATAAACAGCAAAAGCTTCATTTAGCCACAGATCATCCCACCAAATAGGTGTCACTAAATTACCGAACCACTGATGAGATACTTCATGTATTGTCAATTGAATTACACGATCTTGAACAGTGATATCATCTTTGTTCGAGTTAAAGAAAATAGCATGCGTTCTAAAAATAAAATATTCAAGATAACAATTATTGAACATAGTTTGATAATAGAAAAAACGTTAAAGTTAATAAAATTGGAATCATTACAGATAACTAATGACTCCCCAATGTTCAGTAGCTGACGAAGAGTATTGGGGAATGGTTACTTGATCTAGCTTTGGAAGTGAATATGATATTCCAGTATATTGTTCCATTGCAGTTACTGCTGCTTGACTTATATTAAAAGCAAGTTTTACGTTGTTTTTGTTACTTTCATTTGTCCAAAATGTCACATTCTTTACGTCGTTAGTGAAGTTTTCATATGCAGCGATAATAAAAGTTACCAGGTATGTAGACATTGGTGGAGACTTTTTGAAATTAGTCCAAATTTTACCGTCTGTAGTATTTGTGAGACTTTTTACTGGCATATTTGACAGGGCTGTGTAATTAGGATAGTGCTTCAATGAAATTTCAAACTCTGCTTTGAATCCAGGTTCATCCCAGCATGGAAAAGCCCTGCGAGCTGCAGTTGGTTCAAAATGTGTTGCCACCATGTATCTGATGTTTACAATTCAAAGTTTCTAATTAGAAATAAAATTAATTGCTTTATGAGAATATGGGAATAGGGTCCGAAATACATGTACGTTTAAAAGATTGATCTAAAGTTGGAAAAATTTTGCACATTCTATAACAAAAAATTTTTTCTTTTAGTTTTTTTGATATTTCTCAAAATCTACTGGTCAGAATCGTTCTAAAATATATTTAAAATCGAAGTTCAGTCAAGCCCTTTCGAATGGCACCAACCGCTATTAAATCGGTCAAGCCGATCAAAAGTTATAAGAGGTTTACACACACACACACACACACACACACACATATATATATATATATATATATATATATATATATATATATATATATATATA